CTCTGACCTGTTGCGCCACAGGCGCAACGAAGACAAAGCGAGGGAAAACAGAAACAGCACGAACACGAAACACATTGTTTAGCTCGAGCCCCTGTCGCTGACCTCACGGGTTCGGTGGCGAGTGGTGGCGTGAGAGGTTCGTGCTCCATGCGTGCGGTCCCGTCGGCCGCGCGGCGGGAGTCGGGCGTGAGTTCCGGGCAGGACGCCGCGTTTCCGTTTGCGCTGCGCCTGGTTTCGCAGTGGGGTGTGTGAGTGTTGGGCTTCTCCCCCGCCTGCGTTGGTTTTTGGAGTTGATGCTGTGCCATGTCGATGCCCTCTTCCCTTGATCCAGATCTTCCCCGCCTGTCTCTCTCTCTCTCTCTGGCCACGGTGATGCTGGTTGATGAGGTCGCTGGCCATCGAGTTTGACCCCTGGCGCGCACGGCCGTGGTGGAGCAGGAGTGGGCTGGAAGCGAGGCAGTGGAGGAGGAGGCGGCGGTGGAGGAGGAGGAGGAGGAAGAGGAGGAGGAGGAGGAGGAGGTGGAGGAGGAGACGAGGGAGTGCAGGCGATGACGAGGAGGAGGGGGTGCGGAAGGAGCAGGGGGTGGAGGGAGCTTGCGGGAAAAGCCCTGGCTGCCGCCGGCCCAGTGGGCCACTGGCCGTGCCCCGGGCCCTCCCCGCGCCGGCGGGCGCAGGTCGAGGGAGTCCGACCTGAAGGTCCGCCCGGGCGCGCCGCTCCTCGCGCCGCGAGGGGGGGGGGGGCCTCGCTGTCGAGGGGAGGCGGGCGAGGAGGGGGAGGGGAAGGGGGGAGGAGGGCAGGGAGGAGGGGGGCGAGGGGGGGGAGGAGTAGTAGGAGGGGGCATGAAATGGGGAGGACGCCGAGGAGGGGGTGGGAGGAGGAGGAGGAGGAGGAGGAGGAGGAGGAGGACGAAGAAGAAGAAGAACATTAATGATAGTTATTCACTGCGTGGAGCTCCCCATATGTGCATCTATTCGCATGGACCTGTCCGCCGCGAATGTCTAGGCGCAAGAGCTTTCGAATATAAACGGGCTTCAATTGTGATGGTCTGGTCATGAATCTAACTGCGAATGAATTGGAGTGAGAATGAGCCTCAGTAGTACGAGCGCGTCTCTGCGCATGAGCCTGGGGCCTCCTGGGGCCTCCTGAAACCTGCTGGGGCTTCCTGGGGCCCCCAGGAGCCTCTTGGGGCCTCCTGGGGCCTCCTGGGACCTCCCAGGGAGGCTTCGTGCCCCAGGAGAGGCCCAATATATAGCAACCGACGTACATAAAACATTGCGGATTGGAGCCACAGGAGAAGGGCAATATATAGGAACACACGTAAAGCACTAAGGACTCGTGCCCCAGGAGAGGCCCAACATATAGGAACATAAGTAAAACATGTAGGATTGTGTTCACAGGAGAAGGACAATCTATAGAAACACACGTATAACGTCAAGGATTCGTGCTCCAGGTGAGGCCCAATCTATAGGAGCATACGTAAAACACATGGGATTGGAGCCACTCCTGTTGCCTTCTGAGGCCTGCTGCTCCTAGGGCCGAGTGGTGTGTTCTCTCTCCTCCGGCGCGGTCCGCCAAAAACAAAAACCCCATACTGAGGATATGGGAACAAGAACCCCATCTTAGGATATGGGGAATAAGAAGAAGAAGAAAAAGGAGGAGGAGGAGGAGGAGGTGGCCTTGGCCTCTCTTCCGGCTTTCCTTTCGAGCAAGCCTCTCCTTGTCCTCGTCCAGCCCATGTTGTGTCCTTTATTTCCATCATGCTCCGTTTTCCACATTCACCCTTTCCTCTCCGAGCAGCCTGTCGGTGCGTTTGTTTCCTCATCCTCGAGCTGCCTCTCCTCTCGCACTCCACCACCATTCCTCGTATTCCGAGCCACCTACATTTCCTTGCGTCTACTTATGAATCCTGCATCCCCCCCCTTACATGCTGTCTTTCTTGATCCGTGTGTTTCTCTCTCTCTCTCTCTCTTTCTGTGTCCCTGTCTGTCTCTGTCCCTGTCCCTGCCTCTGTCTCCTCTCTCTCTCTCTCTCTCTTCATGTCGCTCCCTCTCTCTCTCTCTCTCCCTCGCTCTGCTCCCACTCTCTGTTCACATGTGTTTTGTGGCCCTCCCTCTGTCCCTCTCCCCCTTTGCCCCCACTCTCCCTCTCTCCTTGTCTTGTTGTTTTCTCTCTCTCTCTCTCCATCTTTCCCAGCGTGCGTTTTGTCTGTCCCCCCTCCGCTCCCAACATGAGTACTATTCACCTCTCCCCCCCGAAGGTCCCTATGAGGGAGGGCGCCCCCCTCTGCGTATGGTTCTTTACCCATCGGATGCCTGCGAGTTGGATTTTTGCATGTGTTTTGCAAGCAGAATGTTCGGTTCTTCCAATGTGTTGCTCCCGCTGCAGCGCTGGCCTCATGTCTGCGCTTCCGCTCGATCCGAATCGTGCTCCCGCTGCAGCGATGGTCTCAATTCCGCGCTTCCGCTCGTTCCGAATCGTGTTCCCGCTGCAGCGCTGGCCTAATTTGTGCGCTTCTGCTCGTTCCGAATCGTGCTCCCGCTGCCGCGCTGGCCATGCAGTGCTGGCCTTATTTTGGAGCTTCTGCTCGATCTGAATCGTGCTCCCGCTGTAGCGCTGGCCACATGTCTGCGCTTCTGCTCGTTCCGAATCGTGCTCCCGCTGCAGCGCTGGGCTTATTTCCGCGCTTCCGCTCGTTCCGACTCGTGCTCCCGCTGCAGCGCTGGCCTCATTTCCAGTGCCATGCCATGGCATTTGGGGGCTTCGCTCGATCCGAATCGTGCTCCCGCGGCAGCGCTGGCCTCATGTCCGCGCTTCTGCTCGTTCCGAACTGTGCTCCAGCTGCAGAATTGGCCTCATTTCAGCGCTTCTGCTCGTTCCGAATTGTGCTCCCGCTGCAGCGCTGGCCTCATTTCCAGTGCCATGCCATGGCATTTTGGGGCTTCGCTCGATCCGGATCGTGCTCCCGCTGCAGCGCTTGCCTCATTTCCGCGCTTCCGCTCGATCGGGATCGTGCCGCCGCTGCAGCGTTGGCCTCATTTCCGCTCCATGCTTTGTGCTGCAATGCGTCACTGCGCGATGCCCCGCCATGCTATGACATGTTTCGCTCTGCCGCGCCCTTCTATTCCATGCTACGCTGTGCACTACCATGCATCTCGTACCCTCTGGGGATTGTTGGCGAGCTCGACATCCCACTGTGCGAATAGAGAGGTGATCTACGCCATGGTAAGGGATAGGAGGGAGGGGTATGACGTCAGATAAGACGCTTGCGCACCTAGCTTGCCCAACCCCCTCTACAATTACACAATATGAATAATACTCTCCTCTGTCCCCTGGTGACGTCCGGGAGATGGCCGGCCCACCTCTGCTTATTGGTTTTTTACGCAGGATTTCCGGGAAACGGGTTTCGTTTTTTATTTTCAATGGTGCTCTCGCTGAGGCGCTGGCTTCATTTTCGGGCCACCGCTCGTTCCGAATCGTGCTCCCGCTGCAGCGCTGGCCTCATTTCCGCGCTTCCGCTCGTTCCGAATCGTGCTCCCGCTGCAGCGCTGGCGTCATTATTTAAAGCCCCATGCCACAGCATGGTTTTCGGTCCTTCCAAATAGGCTCCCAGATCTAGAAAATTCCCCCCCGTAAAAACCATCGGACGTCACTACACATTCGGTGTCGATTCGTTGATTTTTGGTGTCGCAGAAGCCCCCCCCACTTTGAGGCGTCGCCACGCCATGCTATGCCAGGCTCTGCGTCCCGAATCGTGCTCCCGCTGCAGCGCTGGCCTCTTTTCCGCACTTCCGCTCGTTCCGAATCGTGCTCCCGCTGCAGCGCTGGCGTCATTATTTCCAGTGCCATGCCACGCAATGGTTTCGGTCCTTCCAAGAAAATGGCCTCCCGAAGAAACCATCGGAGTGATTCCACATTCGGTGTCGATTCGTTGATTTGTTGGGCCGCAGAAGCCCCCCCCCTTTGGGGCGTCGCCACGCCATGCTATGTCATGCTACGCGTTGATCTTCAACACCATGCTATGCCGCGTAATGCTACGTCATGCTGCGACATCCGATTGTGCGAATCGAGAAGAGATCCACGCCATGGTAAGGGATGGGAGGGAGGGGCAGCGCGTCAGAGATGGCGCGAGCGCACCTGGCCTGCCCCTCCCCCTCCCCCCCCCCTCCCTTCCCCCTCTCCCCCCCCGCCCTCCCCCCCCCCCCCCTCCCGTCCCCCTCGGTCTCTTCCGTCCTCCCCATCCGTGGGCCCCCTCGCTCCCCCCCCCCCGTCCTCGCTCTGCCTCGGCCGCCCGCCCACGCTGCGCGCCCGCCCCGCCCGCTTCCTCCGCGAGAGGTCGTGAGCTCCCCGGCCTCGGCCACCGCCACCTCTGCCAATGCGTCCGGCACGGACACCGAGGCGACCCGGGAGGGGGGAACCGGGAGAGCCACCGAGCGCGTTCCGCGGCTCGCAGAGTGCCCACTCGCAAGCGTCCGAGAAGCACACGTCCGCTGTGATGTGATTTGTCGCAGGTCCTCCGCGGGGGATCCAGCCCATGTGCGAGCAGTTACTTTGCGAGTGGTGGAACGCGCTCTTCTAGGGAGGGGGAACGGAACAGGAGAGGCCGGAACGGGAGGGGGAACGGAGGGGGGAGGGAGGGTCTCGGACGGGGAGAGGGCGAGGACACATCCGTTCCAGAGCGTTGTGGAAGGCTCTCAGAGCGTTCCAGAACGCTCTGAGAAGGCCGCGGCGCCCGAGACATTTTCCAGAGCCGCGGGATCTCAGAGATTCTCGATTCATCCTCATCCGATGTTACCCTCGTCCTGGCTTTGTCTTAGAGCCGTTGGCGCGAAGGGAGGGGGAAGGGAAAGGTGACCATGAGGGGGAATCCAGCGCCGATCCAAGAAATCCGCGCGGACCTCCAACAGTATGTTTATGCCGTTTCCCTCCTCTAGGAACGGGAGGGGGAGGGAAAGTCGGTTGCGGGCGGCTGTGCGCGGCTTCCGGGGGGGCGCGGCGGGGA